CTTGAGGCCATAAATTGCTCTCTTGAGCTTCAATACTTTATTATTACAATTTTCAAATTCTGAATATTCTGGTACTTCCATATATATGTTTTCATCTAGTACACCATTAAGAAAAGCTGTTGGTACATCAAGATGATTCATTTTTAAATCTAATTGAACACTCAAAGCAATTAACAATCGAAATGTAGAAAATCTAAGAACTGGTGAGAAAGTATCATTAAAGTCTATACCCTTTTTCTGCGTGAAACCTTTGGCCACCAGCCTGGCCCTGTACCGCACTTTACCATCACTGTTAAACTTTCTTTTAAATACCCATTTGTTTTTAACGTAAGGGGTCTGTACATTTGTATTTACAAAAAAGTACCCTGTAACTGCCTCGTTGGCTGAGTGGTCGCAAGTGCAACTGCCAGGCAAGCGGTCTCAGGTTCGATTCCCGGGCCAGGCAAAGTACTATTGAGTTTAAAAAAATCTCAGTTGTAGCACGGAGTCTGGTATTATGCCCGGTATATGGCAATAGGGTCACCCCCTATTACATGAGACTCATAACATAGTTAAATAGTGAAAAGTGAGTGTTACATTGTACAGTGGCAAAATGTGCACCTCTGCACCCTTCGAGGATAAAATGCTATGTTATATTATGTTACCCCGTAAATAATTTCTTGACTGTATGCAAGACGTAAGTTATCTTACTTAATATTATAAATGGGTACGTTTGTGCATTTGTGTTTTTGTGTTTTACATAATCACGCCAAAACAGCTGAACGGATCGAGTTGAAATTTTAAACAATGCTAGATTATGGTTTGCAATAGCACATGAGCTACTTTTTACCCCACGGGAATGTTGGTGAAGTCGCGGGCAGAAGCTAGTTCTATATAGTGAGAGGGAGAGCCATGCTTCGGCACGAATGGGCCGGCTCGACCGGAGTGATACCACGGCCACAGAAAACCGACGTGAAACAACGCTTGCGTTGTGTTTTATCGTGTGAGTGAGATTACCGGAAGCCCAAAGGCTCCCTCGTCCCCGTCTCCCTAATCCCCGAATCCTCGACAATCCTCAAATTCCCAATTCCCAAAAGGCCGTCAACTCACTTGTAACGCCTTGGTGTTTCAAGTATCCATGGGTGACGCCGATTGCTTACCATCAGGTGATCCGTCTGCTCGATTTTCGGCTTATGCCATAAAAACAAAATAGGCTGGGCAACTGGCTGCTACGCAACGTGTAGCGGGTTCGATTCCCGTACGGAGCAACTCTTTGTGTGATCCACAAATTGTTGCTTCTGGTCTGGGTGTCATGTGTATGTGAACTTGTATGTTTGTGACCGCACCCACGACACAGGAGAAAATCCTAGTGTGTGGTAACGTTTTTTTTAAAAGGTTGTAAATTTTTTTTATTTCGACTCGACGTTGAAAAGGGCTTATGACATAGTTACTGAAAATGGTACGAATTCAGGTCACATAGAATTTGTTAGGAATATATATGTATGTATGTGTGTGTGTATGTAGTGTGCACTAGATACTAAATACTGTCTGCTAATCGACCTAGTTTCTTTTGTAAAGGCTCCGATTTGAATTTAAACTAACATAATATTTGTATGTGTTTATGTCATTGCTTACGTAATATTCTGGTTGTATTATAACATCAATTCCGTGGTTTATTGGACTAGTGTTAATCAAATCAAATCAAATCAAATCAAATCAAATCATGTTTATTTGCTCAAACACATGTGTACATACAATAAACAATAGCATGTAAGATAGCGGGTAGTAGTGAAAAAAGTTCGAGACATGTTTGCCGTATACAATGGCGTGCAAATATAGTAGTCACTCGTAATGATTGCGAACTAACCGACATCTTTCGAATGTGGAAACCTTATTCAATAATAGACATTGATGGAATATTGATAATAATATGTCAGAGTAACCATCATTTTACATTTAAAACAATAGAATAATAATAATTAAAAAATTATGTCTACTTATTACTGTTACAACAACAACAGTAAAGGTATAATATACAATAATGTCAATCAGTAAAAACTAATAAAAATAAATATGTCAAATATGTTATGTCAAAATTATATAAATCAATTGCATTTTATTAATTTTTCATTATTCAAGTATATCTTTTAGAAAATCGTCGACATTATAATAGGCCTTTCCAACGAGAAATGATTTCACTTTCTTTTTGAATAATTCACCATTAAATTCTTTCCAACTGTGTGGAATCTTATTAAAAATTATAGGAGCCATGCATATAACACTTTTGCGCATAAATGCCGTCTTTGACGAATGTAAACAAAGTTTATTATTATCGCGTCGATTTCGAGGAAACATTTCAGCCATACGTGGGAAAAGATGAGGATTATTTTTGACAAATAAAGCCACCTCTAATATGTAGATTGATGGTAATGTCAGTATTTTATAACGTATGAAATAAGGCTTACACGAATCTCTGACGCTCAATCCGAACATAGACCTTATACATCGTTTCTGAGCTTTAAAAACTATATCTTTATCAGTCGCGTTGCCCCAGAAAATGACCCTGTTGTACTAATGCTTGTTAACTAACATAAGTTACACTAGATGGCATTAGAAGTAACTATAATAATTGGTTATTTTGTTATATCTATTTTACAGAATATTGGGATATTCATCAATGAAGCATTGATGCATCATCGTTACGTTGATGTCACTCGGCAGATAGTCTATTGGGCATGTTCCCTACGGTAGTGTGAAATTGTTGGATTAAAACTTTGTATATGGTCCTTGATTACGTCCTTGTCTATGACATTTGTGCGTTTGTATGATCCTCGTTTATCTTTTTGATTATTGACTTCCTTGCTGAGTGCCGAGTGAATATGTCTGTTATTTTGTGGGTTGTGTTGTTAGAAAAAAAGTTTTGCAAATATGACTTTATTCGTGTTTGACTTGAAAATGATAGTAATACGAAACCTCTCGTTTTTTCTTAATTCGATCTTCTTTAGTGGTTCTTGTTTTCATTTCCTTCGGTTCAACCAGTCCTTTAATGAATACACCTCTAGACTCCCAATTTAGACTTATGTGCTGATCATGTACCTCCTTTCTAATTTCTTCAGAAATCTTAGTAGTGCATTTTTTACGACATTTATTATCGCACGGTGGTTTGAGTGACAGCTTTTCATTAGCATTTTTTTCTGTCTTTATCGATCCGCAAGGGATATATTAAATCTACGTCCTTTCCTTGCAAGCCCGCTTTAGTCAATCCTTTTTCATTCTTTATTTTTACATTCAGATCAATCTCCTCTCGTTCAGTCTCCTCACAATCAATCTCCACTCGTCCCGTTCCGTCTCCTCATATTCAATCTTTCCACGTCCAGTCTTTTTACGTCTAGACTCTTTATGGACAAGTAAATTTCTTTTAATACAAATTGTTGAATTAGAATTGTCGTGGTGGCCCGGAGGGTTAAGACGCCTGCTTTTCATGCATGAGGGTGCCAGTTCGAAATCTACCAACGGCAAGTACCAATGTGACTTTCTCCGAGTTTTATGTACTTTCTAAGGTTATTTAGACACCACTGACCAACGGTGAAGGAAAACATCATGAGGAAACCTGGACTTATAATTTCTAATTATAAGTTTGAAATCGCCAACCTGCATTGAAAATGCGTGGTGACACATCTACTTTTTTCTTATTTTACAGAAATGAGGGTCAAAGATTTTACAAATGTTTGAAACGAAGTAATGACTTCATTTTACATTTTATCATGGATTTTATGGTTTTAGTAACTAGTTTAGACCTTATTAGATACTTAGAGAAAAAAAATCCACTTCAGGTTTCCAGGAGTTGCCTCATAATAGTCAAAGAAGAAGAAAAGCCATGCAATTGTGCCGTTGTTCTTATAAAAACTTCCAAAAATATCATATAAAAAAGATACACCAAAGCCATAATTATATAGGATATAAAAACCACATATATAGATTCTATATCTGTGATAAAAACCAAAAAATAAAGACAATTGGTTAATAAAAAACAAAAGTTTTTATTTGAAATCAACATACATAAAAACTTTAACTAAAATATTATAATAACGTAAACTTGGCTCGTGAATCATTGAGAAACAGTCATCATCAAACTATAATAAGTTAAATAAAGTATAATCACTTATCTTCTCTTAATTGTAAAGGTAGGTATTTCTTATACTTAGAGACTATTATAAAATCCTTCATAATAGCTGGGCACTACGTTAGAACGAAGTAATTGTAACAAATCGTTTTTCTTTGAATCAGAAATATTCAATTTTGAATCATAAGCTGGTTTTAAATTTATTTGTGATGATTGCTTTCTTTTTCGTCGCACCAATTTAAGCTTAACCTGGATCCATTCTCCTTCAAAAGATGTTTTAAATTCATAAAAGTCACTATTTTTTTGTAAATTT